GTAATCTGTTCCAGTGTTTTACTACCCTCCTAGTGAGAAAATTGTTCCTAATATCCAACCTAAACTTCCCTTGCTGCAACTCGTTTTGTCATCTGCTACCACTGAGAACAGTCTAGCTCCATCCTTTCTGACAAGTTTAAAGTTGCTATTAAACCCCACCCCCCCATTCTTCTTTTCTCCAGACTAAATAAGCCCAATTCCCTCAGCCTTCCCTTATAAGTCATGTGCCTCAGCCCCTTAACCATTTTCATTGTCCTCCGCTGGACTCTCTCCAATTTGTCCACATCCTTCCTGTAGTCAGGGGCCCAAAACTGGACACTTCCCCTCTATCTGCTGGCAACATTCCTACTAATGCAGCCCTGTATGCTGTTAGCCTTCTTCGCAACAAGGACATACTGCTGGATCATATTTAACCTCTTGTCTACTGTAACCTCCAGATCCATTTGTGTAAAGCTGTTGCTTAGGTAGTCACTTCCCAGCCTGTCGCGGTATATAGGATTGTTCAATCCTAAGTGCAGAACTTTTGCACTTCTCCTTATTGAACCTCCTAAGACTTCATTTGGTTCAATCCTCCAATTTATCTGTCTCTCTGAATCCGAGAGAGAATCCTATGCCCTCCACTATATCTACTACTCCCCTCAACTTGCTCTCATCAGCAAGCTTGCTGGGGTTGTGCTCCATCCCATCCTCCAGGTCACTGATGAAGATATTGAACAAAAGGAGCACCAGGATCCACCCCTGGGGCACTCTGCTTGAGACCAACTGCCAATTAGACATCAAGCAGTTAATTACTACCTCTTGAGCCCGACAATCCTGCCAGTTTTCTGTCCACCTTAGTCTATTCCTCCAACCCGTACTTCCTTAGTTTGCTTACAAAAATGCTGTTGAAGACTGAAACAGGCTACATAGAGAGGTTGTGGAATATGAGAGGTTTTTAAGACCCCAGGTAGACAAAACCTCAGCTTGGATGATATAGTTGAGGATGATCCTGCTTTGAGCAGGGGGTTAGAATAAATGACCTCCTGAAGTCCCTGCCAATCCTAATATTCTAGGATTCTAATGATATCTACTGACTGGAATCACAGTAATGTGCTTTATTGAAATAGGGATGTATTTCTATAAATGCTGGTTGCTTGAACTGAGGAATCGAGATCTCAGTTCAGTACATTATCCCTACTCTGAAAAATCATATAAGCATGTATGTTCAAGAATCAAGGCCTGACTGTTTTCTTGAATTTCTAAAAGACTCTAAATTTTGTAAAATCTTAGCCCCATTGAAATCAGTGTCACAACTTCCATATTGCTAATAATTGATTTTTTCTAGGAAATTTATGATGCTTTTAAATGAAATGGAAAGAGAAATAAATGAAAAACAAGCAAACTAGTTTCTCACATCAGGGGCCACAGATTAAATCACACACAACATAAAATATATGCAAGTCACATTAATACAAACACAACAGTTAATGAAACTTATAGGATAAAGTTAAGCCACATGTATTGAAAGTGAAGACTTAGACTTTAAGAACTAAACAATCAAAAAACAGGAAAGCAAAAACAGTACTGATAAATTCTACCTCAGCGATAAAAAAAAAATTGATGACATATCTGTTACTATTCTATATTTCTCTTTATTATCTCCCTTTACAGCTTTATTTGTTTTAAACTATAACACTCCACATATATACCTCCCTGTTGCTGTATATAGATACCAGAATTGTATTTATGGAGCAATAACTGGAACTAAAGAAATAGGATATTAAAAAGAATGGCATTGTTTGTGGTGTTGGGTAGATGAGAAAGAATATGAACAGCAAACAAAGAAATTAAAACTACTGACATTCACAGATGTTCCCTGTTTGTATTTATGAAAATTCCTTTACAAAAAACAAAGCTGATGTTTAGTGATGCCAAGTACTGGGATCACTATGAATGGGTGTTTATGGACGACATGAATGGCTTCCAAGCAGAAGAGTTCGTTCTGTTAACACAGCCAAAAATAAAAAAAAAGGGAAGCATGCTTTAATAGAAAGAAGGAATTAACTGAGGAAAAGTCAAATGTTAATAGGTGCTTAGCTAAGTACCTAGAGGTGGTTCTGGGGATATACCAATGCTCTGTAATAAAGCCTCAGTCTCTCTTCTTTTGCGGTCTAGATCTGAATCCTCCTGGGTTGGTTCTTTCTTTTGTTGCAGATCAGCCTAATATAAAGAGAATTAACAAATAGCTTAAGTGAGATAAAGTAAGATTTCTTGACTGCAAGGAAGATATTTATTTGCAATAATTCCTGGTCCATAATAGGAGTACTGTAAAAGATAAGCAGCTAAAAACTTAAGGGATTTATAAACAATAATAATAATCTCATCCAAAATAAACTGGAGGACTCCATTGATTTTTGGGCTGGACCGATAGAAAGTCATTTTCAGAAACTGAGACAGATTGCATGGACTAGGCAAACATTCATTTAATGGCACACTGGGATCTCTTCCCCAACTCCAAAAATCATGCTTCTGCCATGTCACACGTGCATGGCAGGACACACAAGTTTGGAATCAGAGATCAGATGCCGACTATGCCATTACATCTTGCCTGGACAGGAAGAGCCCAGGTTCATGAACCCTGGGGCTGGAACCAACAGGCCTGTGCCAGGCCTGGGTTCTACAGTACAGCCAGTTTCAGATTCCAGTGGGTCCCAAGGCTAGGACTGACAATCAGCTGATTGCCAGTCTCAGCCCTGGGACTGCACCAGAGTCACCAAATGGATCCCAAAGCCCTGTGCACTGGGATATCAGAAAACCTCGTATATAGACCAGCTGTACATATTTTTTAAGGTCCCAGTGTGCTGGGACCCCCGGGATCCAGGATGTGGGATCCACATGCTCTGGATGTTAGAACACTGTGTGTACAGCTGGCAGCACATGTAGTTTTTAAAGGTCCCAGAACAGAGGACCCCAGGATCAGGGAACCTCAACCATTCCTGGGGTCCCCATGGCCGGGATGTGTCAAGTGCCTTACCCCACAGCTCCTGCACTGTGAAGTAAGGGAGTCAACCTGCTGGGGCACAAGCAACTCCATGACTCTCCATGACCTGGCTCCCCTGACCCAGCTGATGAGTTTCCCCCAATCCAGTACCCTGAAAACAGCAGGGTGCAGCCTCATGCAGGGCTGTGCCACATAGCAGTCAGCCTGACAACACAGCAGAGATGTCAGCCAAGCCTTGCCATTCAGTCTGCATCAGGCTGCATGGTGGGGACCATGTCACACATTCAATTTAAGGAAAGATGGCATTTAGCCACAAAATTACACACTTGTTGTAGACTAATTTTGTGGCTTGGTTTCTCATTTAGTTGCACCGTTAACTGCCTGAATATGTGGTCAGGTTACTATTTAAAATTCCATTAACTGGTTAATCGTGTCTTAAAATGTACGATCTGGTAGGGGCCTATAACTGGTATAAAAACGAATGAATGAGGCGCTGCTCCTGCTCCTGTTCCCATTTGAGTCAATAGTAGAACTCTTAGGCTAGGTACAGACATTAAAAAAACCTGAGGTCAAATCTATCTAAGTTATGTGGTTTTCTGTAAGCAACGTAGTTTAGATCAGTGGTCTCCAAACTTTTTTGATCACGCACCCCTATCAGTAAAACATTTTTGAGCACACACCCCCTATCAGTAAAAAATTTTTGAGCACACACAACCTATATATATACATTTATAGAAACAGAAATAGAAATAGAAGTTCTAATATTTTCTTCCTGCACCCCAGTGGATCATCTTGCGCAGCCCCTGGGGTGCATGCACCCCACTTTGGAGACCACTGGTTTAGATCACTCATGATCAGAACACACAATTGCCCTTTGGTAGGGAGCAAATCTTAGACTGGGTTCCACCATTTTTAAACCAGCCTATGAGTGCCGAACTTCTGTTCTTATGGGTATAGACTGGTTTTGTGTGCCAAACTTCTGTTCAGTTATGAGTATGGACAGGTTTCCAATCACTTATACCAGTAAAAATGTAATGTCTGTACCTGACCTCTATGACAAACGAGAGTTCAGAATCCACGGTAAGGGGAGCAAGTGCTCTGAATTCCTTGAAATCTGATTTAATTTCTATGAGACACTCATGACAAGGAAGTTTTACCAGGGGGAGAAGGCTACAGGGTGTCTGAGTCCTCCTAGATCTTGAAACTTATGATAAGACAGGCAATTTGCTGTCATGGTTGCTTTCTCTCTCCATTGTCTTTCTAAATGAATTAGGTGGGGAAAGGTGGCTGTTCCTCCTCCTATTCCCCTGCTAACTTTTGGGCTGTTTGTTGGTAATTGAACAAAACCATCCAAAATGAAAGGAGATGAAAGATGCCATAAGTTGGAAGTCTGATTTCTTATATCACATCACATTCCATAGTAATTCTATGAAATACATGTACAATATTAAAGTGTCAGTTTAAAAGGAAACCAGTTATTAGTAAAGGATAACAGGTGCTTTAAACTATAGTAAGTGTTGACATTTGAAGGAAGAAAAACATAATTGCTTAATGCTTTTTTGACTTTGCATGAAAATTAATATCCATTCCCTGTCAATTCTCACCTCTATTCTGCTAAGTGACTGAATAAAAAGAAGTATAAATCCGTTAATGAAAAACCTAATGCATATTGTCAAGGACAAATAAACTAATATGTCAATCACATTTTAATAGAACTGAAGGCTGCACAAATGCCAGGAGGCTAAAATGCAGTTGCAATTATGCTTTACTTTACTGGAGAATAACAACTGTGAACCTGTTACCTTAGCCAGATCGAGCCTGTCTTAGGAGTATGAAAATACTTATTATGGTTGTAATAGCTTTAAAAAAAAGTCAACCCCCTTTCTAGCTCCCTTAGCAGAATAGAGCTCTCTCCTCCACTAGAAGAAAACCAGAAGAAAGCCCTGAAGCAAATCATATTTTTTTCTACATACAGATCATATCATGTCAGCTAGGGTTACCATATTTCCAGTTCCAAAAAAGAGGACATGTGTCAGGGGTGGGGGCATATGATTGTGGGGGAGGCAGTGATATGACAGTGCCCTATCCTTGCCCATTTCATTGCCCCTCACTCCCAAGCCACAGCCCCACCCCAGCCCTGCTGCTGCATCTCAGTCCCTACTCACAGACCGCTGGCCCTGCCAGTGCCCCTCATTCCCAATCTACAGTACCCCACCCACCTGAGTCATACTGGTGCCCTTCAATCCCAACTCACAGCCCCCTGAGCCTACTGGTGCCCCACACTCCCAGCCTGCATCCCCCTGGCCCTGCAGGTGCCCCACACTTCTGACCCACAGTTCCCCGCCTCTCAGTGCCCCTCACTCACGAACCACAGCCCCCCCCAGCCCTGCCAGGGCCCCTCACTCCCAACCCAACTCCCCGCTCCCTCCAGTCCTGCAGTATCCTCCAGCTACCCCACCCACGTAAGCAAGGGCACCAGCGTGGCCCTGCTGCCCCTGAAGGCCCCCCCACTTCCTTACCCTGCTGTAGGGGCAGGCACCCTCCCTCATCTCCTATGCTCTGCTGCAGCCCCCATGCCTCAACAACTTCCCCCAGCACTGGCACCCATCCCCTCCACACACACACAGTCCCCAAGCCCTGGCCCTCCAACCCCTGCTCCCAATAGACTTACCTGCATCCAGCTGCTGGGGCTGCTTCCACCACCCTGCCTAGCTGCATGATGGCCACGTACATGGATGTGGTTCCCCCTGCCTCCAATCACCCTCTCCCGTTCCCCCCAGCCCCAGGCAGCTCCTTGCTAGGGCAAGCCGAAAAGTGCCTGGAAAAACATTGATGCTGAGTAAAGTAAAATCCAGGACATTTGATCATATTTTTTAAAAGACAGAGATCAAAGGATCAAAAAAGATGACAGGTCCAGGAAAATCCGGATGTATGGTAAACCTATGTCAGCTGAGAATAGCTTAAACATATCTGTTTTGAAAACAATTTTTGTTTTAAACTTCCTTGACTGAAAATAAGCATTTCTATTTTGGGCCTACAGCTGAAGTAGTTATAAGGATCACTTTATACGTGAAAGCCATCTGGCATAAACAAATAAAGATGGTAAGACCTAAGCAAGCCCTTTCTGTCATTTAGAGATGCTATGCATATTTACCTCTTTCTTTTTCCTCTCTTCTTCCTTCCGTTTTTTCTCCTCTCTTATTTGGGCTAACCGCTGCTTTTTGCGCTCCAACTCTGCCTTTAAATCACTTTTGTCTGACATTGCAGCTCTGTTAGATGATAAAATAAAATTAGAGAAACTGAGAAAAAAATAGAAGTAAACTTTTTTTTTTACTTATTTAAAATGTGACTTTCTTGCAATAGAAGTTACGTTCATGACATTACTACAAATGTGTATTTATATAGGCAGTAGGCACTGGCGCTTGGAACTACAGTGACACTGCTGAAAACAACACCTTTGTCAGGCAATTTCCCACCCTAGTGTCCCCAAAAGGTATGCAAAAATCTGTACTAATTATCTTCATTAAAGGAGCACCTTTGTCAGAAGTACCTATTTTTTGTTAGTCCTTTCAGCACTTTGGGATCTAATTCAGATCTGTTGAATCATGTGGAAAGTCTCCCAGTGACTTTAACAACCCTTTTTTGGATCAGATGCTAGGGTACATATCCACAAAAGGATTTAGGAACCTAAAGTGAGACTTGGATAATATTTAGGCATTATAAATCTAACCCCACCCCCATAGTACCTTAGGCTCCTGTAAAGATCCCTAAAGGACCTAAGATTCTGCTTCAGTACAGGCCCAGAACTGCCATGGTCTTGGCAGGGCTGAACAGGTTTGTACTTATCATGACTAAGTGCAGCAATGCTCAACCTTTTTTGTCCAGTGGGCTGGATGGGCAGTGCCCAGCCCCTCCACAGACCAGATCCGACTGGTGGACCCAATTGAATTCCCCAGGGCAGGTGCAGCGGGAGATTGAGCCAGTCCAGCCCTGATCCAGCTGTGTGGGGGAAAGGGGCTAGGCCTGGCCCCAGTCCAGCCTCAAGGGGCAAGGGGGCATGGCCCAGTCCTGTGGGAGTGTGGCATGGCTCAGACCTGAACCAGCTAGGCACAGGGAGGCATGGCCCAGCCCCACAGGAGGATGGGGGCATGGCCTGGACCCACAGGAGGAAGTGTGGGGAGAAAATGGGCTAGCCGTGAACCAGCTGCACAGAGGGAAGGGGAGGTGGCCTGACCCTGATCTGGCTGTGTAGGGGGGAAAATAGGAACTAGGCCATGACCCTTGGTGCAGAGCTTGGGATTTCGGCAGCAGGGAGGGGTGGCAGTATTAACTGCCACCGATACCCTACAGCCAAATTTCCTGACCCTCATGGAGCCCCATGGTCCAGATTCCAAGGTTTGGCAGGATCCATTTGGCCTGTGGGCTGGAGGTTGAGCACCCCTGACTTAATGCATTTGGAATCCATAAACTAAGTGTTCCTCTTTAGGGCCTATATGGGCAAGCACATTAGATACAAGCCAACAAAACAAGACAACTACCACCACTTCCATTCTGTATTAGGCCCTCCTCAGATTGGGGGAATCAAGCCAATCAAGCCTCCCAGGAGAATGCCCTAACCACAAGGCTAGATGTGTGGAAGATAAGTAAACTACACCCTTCTCTCCTTCTTGATGCTGTATCATTTTGCAGAAAAATGGGCATTGTTCATTTGTCCAGAGAGACAGAGACAGAGTTAGTGAGCACAAGATTATCTAGCCCAGCACAGTGATTAGAACATTCCTCCATGAAGAAGACCTAGATTCCAGTCTCTACTCAAAGGACAGTTTATGTAATTTATTTTATAAAATACCTGTTTTAAAAGGAACATTGACATGTATTCTTGCTTTGAAAGGAACAAGTTAGGCACTTATATCCAGGAGAGGTTTGGGGCTGTGAGCCCCAATCTGACTCAGGTGACTACCTGCATGCCAAAACTATATCTAAAACTATGAGAAGGATGAGACAAATATATTCTTACCATTTCCTGTTGGCCACCTTGAGTGCCTGTACCAGATCTAGGATTTTGAGAAGGGGGTGCAGATGGTATAGCACATCATTACATATAACACAGCACATTTTTCTCTAGATAAAGAGAAGCTAGTAGCTTTACTAATATGCTAGGGGAGCTAGCACTATATTATGCAGTTTAAGATCAAAGTAAAAACAAATATAATTATTGAAATGTTGTCTCATTTTCTAGGTATTACATTTTAAACACCCCAATACACTAGGAAAAGAATAGTTAAGAAGTGTGTCCCATAATCATTCTAATTAAATATCAGCTGATTGTCAGTCCCACTCCTGTGGTTCAGATTCATAAAACAAAATCTAACCTTCTTAAGCATCTTCACAGTGCCTCCAATACCTCACTGTCAGTCATTTCAGACAAGGTTCTTTGGGTGAATCTGATATCTTCTATTAGACCAACTTAAATAGTTGGAGAACAATTTTTAAGCTATCTTTCAGGTTCAAAAACCCTTTGTCAGGTTAATAAAAAACCCTTTGTCAGGCTAATAAAGGAAATCAAATTCACCCAAAGAACCTTGTCTGCCTATATCCTTAGACCAACACAGCTACAAACTACACCCCTATCAGTCATTTCTACACTTGAGTTAATAGTACCACACCTGAGTTTAGGTTTTTAGCTAAAGCTTAAAAAGGTCTGCAGGGCTGTGAAATAGAAGACAGACCTTACCAGGAGTGGCTAGCAGAGAGCAAAATTGCAGAAGAAAAGATAGTTTGCATAGGGGAATGTCAAGACCATTAAAAAGAGAGTCCTTAACACCTGTTGAGTAGAGAAAGATTAGCAGGAGTCAGGGAGATGATATAACAAGCCTTGAAGGTAACTGACTATCTTAGGGACTATGGTTAGAAATGCTGTTTCCCTGCCCAGGCAGGTGGTTTTAACTACTGAGTGGAGCAGGGATCAAGGGGGGCACTTTAATGTCAGTCTTGCTACATTTTTATTTCGTGCAAGCTAAGTCATCCTTTGAGCTAAGACTTATCAAGCAGTCAAACTTGGTTCAAAGTTTCTTTCTAGAATATTAAATGATGCTTACAACAGGGTCAAATTTACTCCCCAGTGAAGGACTTGTACAAAGCCTTGACAATGTAACCTTAAGATGCTTTTGAAATTCTACCATTCTGTACTGCCATTAGAACATGCCTTCCAAAGGAGAAGAGAAGGGACTCTGCCAATGTCTGACACAAGCAGAAGCAGATCTCAAAAGGGCACCTAAAACCAATCTGATCGCTAATCCACAAAAATGCTTTACCAATCTTTGACTTAAATCACACATTGTTTATTCTGACTGTAACATCAGCTTCAGAGTCACCACAGATTACTATATAATAGCATCAGTAGAGATTTGCTCAATAGCGGTTTATTTATAGATTCCTTCAGGGATACTAATGCAGACTCTAGTATAAAAAGTTAATTACACCCTTTTGTATTGGCAATTCATGCGTTATTGACCACAGCCCCATTACAGCTCAGGAACAATCAGATCAATGCAAATGTCATGTTCATGCCATAGTTTGTTATTTGCTCAATGCATGAGAAATTTAAATACGTAACCCTCCATTAATACTGATTAGGATATACCTCTCATTAGAACCTGCATTGATTGCCTATCAGATCTGTATATGTACACACTAAAAATGATACAACACTTCCACTGGTCATAAATTTCTCCACATTGACAAGAATTTTTTCATCAAAACAATAAATGTATAATTGGTTCATGCTATAGAGGGTTCTGTACACTAAATACACTACTAGCTGAAATGATTAAGCTGTCTTTGAAAACATTCTTTTTGTAGATGGGGGGGTATCAGTTTAAAATGGAGCACAATGTAACCACCATGCAGCAGGTACAGCTGTACCTGTAGCGATTTTTTTTAAAGGAATTTTTTTTGTCTCACAAGTCAAATCAGCCAAATCAATTCCGAATCCATGAGTCATTCAAGAACCAGATGTGGCCCTGCTATGGGCAAGCATCCTCCATCCCCACCTGGGACTTCAGATGGTTCCAAATCCTTTGGCAGGCATCCTACATGCAGGTCCAAGCCCAGAGGCTTGGGATTCGGAGGCCCCCAAGTTTCACTTGCCCTCAGCTGTACGGCCACAGGAGCAAGCCAGGGAGGAGTCTCCTGTTTCCATGAAGTCAGCGTATAGCCAAGATCTTCCCAATGGAAGTGGAAGTGGGAGGCTAACTATGCATTACCTCGGTCAGGGTACTACCTCCCTGTGGTTTTCCCCAGCCAATAAGAAAATCAGCCAGAAGGAAAATCACCTTGGTGGTCACGGTATTTCCCCTACCAGGTAGCTATAGCGATAGGAAAAGGATCTAAAGCATCTGCAGACTACGCCAGAGCTATCCCACTGTCTAAACCAGCAGCTTTAGCATAAAATTGAGCCGTATAGTGTAAATCATAGAAAGAAATGATCTTCAGACTGATGTCATAGTTCAAACACACAAGCAGTTAAATGTGGTGAATGAAGGGCTAAAGTTCTCTGGTTGCTCAGGGTCCATGGAGCCCTGCTGGAGCTTCCAGGGTGATTTCTTATTAACTCGATGCAAATGATGAAAACAGTATTGGGACTGGGAGCACAAGGGAGATTAAACTAGTTAACAAGCTTGACCCCCTGTTTGCATATTACATACGCAGGTGGCCTTAATCTTTGATAGTCAACAGATTATTCCTGCCTACTCTTGGCTCCATTCATAAAGAAATAAAAGCATTTGTTTTTTTCTCATTCTGAAAACAATGACTAACTGTATTCAACACAAATAACCCAAAGTAATATCCCCTTTAACAACAATATTTTTTGTGATCAGTCAGTATAAGGTTACTGAAGATAGCTGAAAAATAATACAGATTTTTTTTCTAATGATAATATTGGTATCTCCATTCAACCAGTGCTAGGATTTGTGGTCCATGTGGTAGCAGAGCCTCAGTCCTATTTGAGGTTATTTTCCTAATCTGTTTCATGCATTTGAGTTTTAATTTTACAAGCTCCCCCTAGGAGCCTCTTAAGCCAAATAGAGGGTTTGGTTTTTTGTTTGTTTTTTTTTCAGTCCTGCAGTTGGGCAACAGTGAGTGGGATCCTGTTTCTAAGCAAAAAATATGCAAATTTTAGTTTAAAGCTGATGACAGAAACCCTGATGGTTTAGCTTCCCTTTCTGTTTGGAAACCTATTCACTGCTATCTGACACAAAGTAGTTCT